CATCCCTCAAGAGTCCTATCCTAACATTTTGTTTCCCCCCTTAATGTATTTAAAGAAATCCTTACTGTTAATTTTTACATTTTCAGCCAACTTTTTTTGATACATCCTTTTTGATGTCCTAATTTCCTGTTTCACCAACTTTCTCCTAATCTTCTAAGTCTCCTGTCATACCAGTCAATTTAAATTTCTTAAATTTATTATGCTTTTCTTTAATTTTATTTCTTAAACTCTTTGTGAGCCAACCTGGTTTTACTTGTAGCTACCCTTCTTTCTATTAGGAATATGTAAGTATCCCACCTTATATCAAATATGTTTGCATAGTAATGTGTTTCTTATTTCATTTAATGCATTAAAACATGATTGCTGTTCTCTATAATGTATTTTAAAATTATATGTGAATATTTTTACGTGTAAAATAAAAGAGTGTTTCAATGAAATATGAACTATTTCTGGTCACATCATCAGTAAATTATACAAATTAGTTTTATTGAAGGTTTGAACCTTTATTCATTAATGTGTTCTGAAACTTCAAAGGTCAAAATCTACCCTCTGTTACAGCTCTAATGAATGTGTAATATTAAATGTGTGTTGTGTGTATGTATTATATATATATATATATATATATATGTTATATAAAATACTTTATGTATACATTGTTTTATCCTATTAGAATAAATATTTGAAATTTTTCTGTCACGCAGGTCAAAAAGTTTTTTTTATTCTTAACAGCTTCCTCTGTATGTATGGGTGTGTACAGATACTATAACAATATTTTAATATTATTTAGAGTGTAGATTAATTAATTTAATGTTTCTCAGGTTAGTTTGGGTTGACCACCTTTTTTAGGATTCTAATTAAACACCACTAACAATCAGTATTTCATTTTGGTGAGAGCAGAATACTTCCTTTTGGTCATTGTACTTAATGGAAAAAAATTATGATGATTACAGTAGAAATAGAACATTCACGAATCAGTCTCGCATATTGTGTAGTTGTATCATAATTACTGCATCTAATCAAAGGATACATCAACACCATGTAGATTAACAATAAAGCCTTAATGTCTACAATTCCACTACTACCTAAAACAGCATCGGACAAAAGTTTGAGGTACAATCAAGCAGTTCTACAATCACAAATTCATTTGCATTGTATTTGGTTTGTATCGCTATTTAGGTAAACATGCATTTATAGAAGCTTATAATTATTTGAACAGTAATTTTTACATGTCATTAAATGAATAAAAGCCAGTATGATCCTTTTCTTTTGTGTATGTATACTTGGCTGTTATCAGTTATTTAAAAAACAGGATTATAGTTTATTGCACAAAGTGTTCCCAAATTGGCAATGGCACATGAGCACAACACACACAATAATTAACATTTATACTTTCTTAGTCTGCTCATTGTTATTGAACTCTCACACATGGCATGCATGATCCTTGCATCCTAGCCTTATAAAAAAAAACAGCATCTTTATCTAGGTATTTTAATGTACATTCTCTAATATTATTATCAGTTGAATGTTCTGATGAATATTTGTGTACATTGTATACTACTTTTGGCTACAGAACTCAATGATATGGCTACTGTTAATTTTCCGTACCAGTCTAGATACAACATTTTAAGAGTCAAATCTGAAATGTGAATTCTTTTCATCACTATTTTTGTCATTATTCACAGTGGCAAAGAGAAAGTATTTTGCTAAAATGAAAAAAAAAATCTTAAATGGCAAGTGTTTCTCAGATCATAAGGTCTAACTTTACTGACAGTTTTTAGGTAGAAGATTATAATTATTTATTGGACTTTATGTTTCTAAACCGACTCAAAATTATATTGAAATTTTAATATAAACAAAACAATTAAATAAGAAAGAGAATTTATGTTATTTTCTTAATACTTAGGAGACACTAAAGTATTTTAGTACTTTCAGAAATTATTTAGAATTACCATTTAATTGTTTCTAATTCAGTTTCAAAGTAGGGCTCCTGTTAAGCACATTATGTAGCAGGGTGTTTGGACAAGCTCTAAATAACTTCCTTAAAATATAGGTTAAATTTATTTGATGGTAGGAAATTTTGGAAATTGGAAGCAAGTAAGAAATTGATAAAGAAACAAGGGAAATGAGGAGACTGCAATAAGAGCTTTTAAAGCATAACAGTAGTTTTAAAGATAAATGTCAGATTTAAATATAAGCATAGTAGATTTGAAATGAGCTTAATTGCTGCTACTTTACTGCTAGAACTTTTAGAAGGGAGATGTATGAGCTTAGGTCTCAAGTTGAAATGGAAGACTACCATATCATGGAAAGTACTCCAATTTCGTGATGTAGGGAACACTGATAAGAGGAATATATATTTTGAAATTCCATGTTATAAGTTGTATAATGGTGATAAAAGTTTTGAAAGAGGTATGTAGTGGCTTTCTTTATATACAAAGTATGAACTGCAGTCTGATGTGGTTGTAGACATAAAAAATGATATTGAAGAGGTTTTATTTGTACGGGTTACAGTGAGGGTTTCAAGAGTAGAAGGTTTTTAATTGGCAGCCATTATAGACCACTGATCAGACAAGTGATGTCAAAGAGAAATTATACAATGAGATCAGAGTTGTGACTAATAATCATGAAGAACTTTAATGTTAGGCACAGTAGTTGAGATTATTATATGGATTTGAATAGTGTGGAAGAATGGGAGGTTTATTGAAGTGATTCAGGGTGGTTTTCCATATCAAACAGTCATAGAGCCAGCCATAAAGGATGCCATTTTATATTTACTGTTAACCACTAATGAGGATGTAGTTAGAAGGGTTGAATGTTTAGGAAAGGTGATCATTGCATAATTAACCCTAAGGAACAAAATGAAATTTTTAGTTCCTTGTTTTCAGAAAGCCAATTCTGAAGTCACAAAAAATATATATCATTAATTAATTGGGATAGTGAGTTAATAGCTGACATGGGATAGATCTGTGAAATTTAAGAAATAAGTTGCTTTAAATTCAAAAAATAGGCTTGTTCATAATAATAAGAAGAAAAGAATAATGGGGAACATCAAACCTAATTGTCTTAGTAAAGACATATAGAAGAAAAGTGGTAGTACCATCAGTTTAAGAAATCAAAATTAAAATATAACAAGAAAGGTATAAGGAGTTATAGAAATTTGGTTAAAAAATAATTTGGATATCAAAAAAGGACATAGAGTAACAGCTGTCTGATAATGTTAGAATTAATAGCAAAGACTTATTGTGAGTATGTTAGAGCTAAAATGGAGCTTAAGCCCATAAAGGATGCTGGTTTTGTTAAAGAATAAAAGAAAGTTGAGTATTTAAAATGACTTAGCTATAATTCTGATGCTGAACATCTTATTGGAAACAGTGGAATTGACCTGAATAATTTAGATATTTATACTTGGATGGTAATTAAAAAGAGTGAGAGGCTTGAAATAATGTACCAGGACCAAAAAATGGTTCCTCTGGTATTTTCAAGTAAGCTAAAGGTGAAAAAATGTAAGCCTTTCCCTATTGGATTGTGAAAAGGCAATGTGCAGGTGTGTAAAGATTGGAGAATTGCTAAGGTTATTTTTGTTCTTAAAAGAAATGATAAGATTTGCCCTGAAAAATATAGTACAGTTACCAAAGGAATGGAAAAATTCTAGAATTTTAAAAAAAGCAGCTTTGCAACTAATTTATTGAATTATGATATCATAAAAGGGAAATTTTATCTTACTAATAATTTGCTAACTTTTTTTGAAGATATTGCTTGTTATTTGGATGATGGAAAGGGTGTGGATTTGAAAATGTGCCACACAAACAATTAGCTAAGAAAACCATGTATGTAAGGGTTGGGGAATGACAAATTAGTTGAATTGAATGGTGTTTGTATGAGAGAAAGCAAACACTTGTTATCACGGAGTCCAGTCATATTGTTCCTTTGTTGCAAGTGAATCAGTGGTGTGCTTCAGGGATCAGTGCTTGGGACTTTGCTTTTCATTATATACATTAATAACATTGACAGGAGTATATTTAGCACTAGTGAAATTTGCTGATAACAAACTCTTGTGTATTTTTATTTGTATTGAGTATGTTGAGGCATTTCTACGGAATGACTTGACTCCTTTGATAAGTTGGGCAAACATTTGGAAAATGACCTTTAATTATAGTAAGTGCCAGTAATCCATTTGGGTTATCAACATGAGTAAAGAAAGGATCTTGGAATAATGCTAGATAAGTTGCTCAAGCTATCTAGGCAATTCTCTGTTGATAGTTTTAGTAGATCTAATAGTTTGATGATGTATTTATAGACATTGAGTATAATTATCTCTATAGAAATCATTAGTTGGTACCTTGCTTCCATTATTATGTAATTTTGATCTCATTATATAAAAATAGATATTGATTTAATCGATGGGGTTCAAGGGAGAGACACAAGGATAATTCTGGGACTGGGTTATTTTATTTCTTTTGAAAAAAAAAAAGAGTAAGAGATGAATATTCAGGGAATTGGGATGATAAGGCTTATGTTTTCTATATGCTGAATTTTGAAGACATTTTGAGCAAGAGGATACAACTTTAGCATTTGTAAAAAATTGACTAGAATCCAATCATGACAACTTTATATATACCTTGGTTATTATCTTTAGGCACTGAGTTGCTTTCAACACAAGTGGAGGCTAGTACCGTACAAGAGTTTAAGAAGGGAATCATTGATTTTCAGAAATATAAAGGGTGGTTTTAATATTTCTTTTTCTTGGGTATTTATATGCATGAACAGTTTTGAAAGACCAAATGTTTTTTAGTTGTCCAATGTATAAATAAACTAGACAGTATAGTTTATTTCATATATGAACCACAAACATTACAAATAACTTCATATATAGTGTACCATGTTTTCAAGTTCTGATTCCCCATTTCTTTTTCAGAGATATTTCTAAGGCTGCATGTTAGAAAAGGACTGAAAATTACAAATGTCATTACATTCTAAATAATATACATAGGGTGATAATTGTTTTTGAAAGTTTGATTTACAACACTCATTTTGCTCCAATATATGAATAAGTAATTCGCACTAAATTTTATCCATACTGAATAACATTTAGAAGTTGCTCAAGGTAGTTGAAATTTTAGCTTGTAGCTTGTATTATATCCACATATTCTGAATATTATAGAATGTTTCAGAATATTCTAAATAATTTTGGAATCTTCTGGTGCATTGTTATGGAATATTCTAGCACTTTCCAAGATATTGTAGCATATTCCAGAGTATTCTATATTATTCAAAATGTTCAAGAACACTCCATACATAGATAATCCATGCTGTCACTCTTTACTTCTGGAATTTTCTGTTTGACATGATGGTAGTTTCTTGAATTTCTACAAGACAACTTTAGGTCAGCCAACCTAGAGATGGTTATTGAGAGCTTCTTGAACTAGCCATAACCTTTCTTGGATGCGTTTCTCCTTGTGGAGTGTGATTTATAGCACCTGTAGCACTGTATGACGGATGGCAAGGTATTAGATGCCTTCAAGATATGTATATTTATCAAACAGTTTAAGCTTGCTGGCTGTGAGGAAAAGGACTTGGTGACACCTGCATCTTTGTTGTTATGGTTCAAGTCTATCATAGAACATGGTTCACTGTTCCTAATGCTATTTCTGCTCCTCAAAGTGATCTTAACCTCCAATAATTTCTTGTTAAGTATAAGAAAGTGAATTCTGCTCTTTCAAAATCTGCTTGTCAAAAATTTGCTGAACATTTATGATATCTCAATGAAGAACTTGGTTTGACATTCTTTGATTCAACTGTATCCAGAGACAAAATGAGCAATGGTAAAGGCATAGATGAACCTCCAAAAGCACATCCAACCAAATATCAGGAAGGGTTAGGACATGTCAATTGTAGATTTCATCTGGATTCCTAAATTATGACCTTAAGTCATGGGAGCTCAGAAAGGACTACAGGGAGGCACTACAGACAGTCTAACACTTGAATGTTGTAAATGACAATGCTGAAAGAGGTGTGGCCCTTATTGAGGAGTATAATGCCATTATCACCAAGAAAGAAGAACAGAAATATTTCCTCCGTAAAGTTGTGCAGGATCGTAGAAGACACTTTCCTAACAGCTAAAAGGAAATAATAACAATGCAAAAGTGGCTAACTACACCAAACTCATATGAAATAATAATATACTTTAAATAACTCCTTTATAATACATAATTAATATGTTTTTCTATCATATAGAACCTACAATACCTGCCCACTGCAGTCTAGAACTTTAACCTCATTGAGCAACCTCTAATTATGGTCCAAACTGGATGAAGTTTGACATTTAATGTTTTTTTGTGTACATTGGAGGGGATGGGAGCTTTCGAATTTTTAACTTGAAATTTTACCTGCAAATAAGGACCACCTTAACGTGTATACTACTGTAGTTTAGTGTCTAAATAGTGGTCACTTTTTATGACTAAATTTTATTTTGGGCTAACTCAGGTTAGACATACCTCTTTTAAATTAATGAAAGTTAATTTTATAGTCTTTCAGTCAGGATATTTATGATGAAGTGGCAAATGAAGTAAGCTTGGGGCTCTGTTTCGAGGTTCATAGAGCTGTGAAGCTTGGATTTTTGTTTTTGGATGAATCCAAGGAAGAGTAAGTATCTTTTACAACTGAATGTTAAAAAATTATTTCACTTTACATATAAATATACTAAGGTGGCTTTAGTGTGTTGACATTCATTCCTTACTCCATATCTGAGCTTTAAAGTCTACTTGACATAGTCCTGTCAAATTCTGTCCTTTTACGCACACACACACACAAAGCAATGGAACAAAAGCTGAAACTTGTGATGCTTGAAATGTTGTAACTTAATATATTAAAACATCTGTCAGTAAGCATATTGATACATTCTCTGTAAGATATGTTAATACCAAGCTTCTATTGATGGTATTTACTGACAATAACTTTTTCATTTTTCAACAGACAGTTTTATCTTATTAGTATTGACTAGTATATTGTTTTTTATAATTCTGAAATTCTAATAGTTACAAAGTTATATGAATTTTGAATATAGCAACTAGTAAATAATGTTTTTTAATTCCAAAAGTCTAATAATTACAAAATTGTATGAATATAATTTAAAATGAAAATGTTTTAATATTTAAAACATGTATATTCATTAATATGAGCCTAATATCTTTAACATTCAAAATACCTGAAACTGCAGATAGCCAGGTGAAGCTTCGCAATAACACAAACAAACAAACAACTGATGTGAATGTCCTCTGTTTGAACAGAATTTTTGCTTTCAAAGAGAGTATGTATATAGAACTTTCAGTTTCTGTTGTACAAAGTGTAATGTTTACACCTGAGACTTGGAAGATGTTATTATTTTTAATGTGTTGCAATGTTCAAATATTTTTATTCTGAAGCAAGTACAGTTGCCTACTTTGTAACTACATTTGCTGGATGTGTTTTCTAAGATTTTATGTATTTATAATTTTTTTATGTTTTTCTCTATTTGTCTGTTCCTTCATGACTGGAAGTGAGAAGAAATTTGGTAAGTGAACCATGTTATGTGTGTATTTATACATACGTGTATTAGTTTTTAAAAATTGTCATTTTAACTCTGTAATAAACTTGGCAATAATTACATTAAATACTAATCAGTTAAGTACTAGCTTACTGTTAAGTGAACTTAATTTTCTCTAGAATGTATATGTATATATACACATATATATATATATATATAGAGAGAGAGAGAGAGAGAGAAAAGATAGAGAGAGTTAATTTCTGAAGAGCTTGGTAGTTGCTTCATTTTTAATTTCTATATATATAGAGAGAGAGAAAGAAAAAAAGATAGAGAGAGTTAAAAATTTCTGAAGAGCTTGGTAGTTGCTTCATTTTTTAATTCCTTGTGATATCTTTGTCAGTTGCTACATCTCAATTTTGTAATGAGTAAGATATATTTAACAAGAAAAACAAAAAGACTAAAACCTATATACAAGAAACATGTGTTTCAAGTATTAATTATTTACAAAGAAAAGGTGTAATATATATATATATAATGTGTTCAACTGTAATATGGTGGTACTCTTGCAGAAATTGTAGATGAAATTGGCCGTGATGTGTTTGGTCAAGTACCCATGAAAAAACAATTTGAATGCATCTGTCCAAATTGTCAGCGAAACCTTGCTGCTTCAAGATTTGCTCCACATTTGGAAAAATGCATGGGAATGGGCAGAAATAGTTCTCGTCTTGCAAGCAAAAGGTATATCATCAATAGCTGTAAAGAAACCTATGAAATAGTAATATACTCATGCCTATTATGAAACTATTAATAGCAAAGTGTCAAGGTTTTAGTTAAAAAACAGGATGTTGTGTGTATAATGACTTTATAAACAGTTTAATGTTACTCATACAACAAACTGTTAATAAATAACACCAAATATTTGTTTGTTAATTACTTTCATTTTAGGATTTCTTTTTAATTGCTTGTGTTGCATTAGTCATTCAAATTTTCATTTATATTTTTCCAAACAAATTGTAGTTTAGTATGATTCAGCTTTTTTCCTATTGATTAATATTAAAGTTAGCAAGGTAAAGGAATTTGAAAGTATTTATTTATGTTGAAATATTGTAGTCCCAGCATTATTTTCTCTGTAGAGCATTTATATTTACTTAACTTTGTTTGTCTGTCAGATGGTTTTAAGGAGGAGTAAATATTCATATATAAAATTACATTTGTATAATATTATACGTTTCATATTTAAGGATGAGGCTGGGACTTTTAATCCTTTCCATACAATCAGTTTTGCTGACTGCTAACTATAACATTACATTTTTACTCCAAGCTAGATGGATAAACTGTTGTTTACACTTGTATAAAGAATGTTTTGAAGAAGGTCACTTAATCATAGCAGCTTAGACCTATTTGTTTAAAACAAATATCAAACTTTTTCAATGTTAGAAAACAAGCATTACTTTATCTGTGATATGAAGGCTGCAGATGCTATTCCTGAGGTCAGTTGCATTTCATAAGATTGATGTTTATTATCCAGAACTGCAATTTCCGAGATAAGCTACTTTGAAGGACAGAAAGATAAATCTTTGTCCTAACATCATAATAAAATTTGTACAGATTCTTCATTGCACGTGGAAGTCAACTTTGAGACAATTTTTAAGGAGATTAAAGGTACAAAAAGCACATTCATTGCTGTACCAAGGAGTTTAATGGATTGATGTGATTCCATTCTTTTTGTCTGTGTTTCTTATGATAAAAGTTGATTTTGAGATGTAGCTGGAAATTTATGAGATTTTGTCAACTTCAAATTCTCATTTACCATCTTGTTTATGGTATATGAGAAATTATGTCCAGTTTTATTTCAATGACATTTCAGTCAAAGAGTTATTTTTCATAACCAAATCCTTCATTTTTTTGATGATGGTGTTGTTCTTCATTGGTTGGGTTGCAAGTGCCTATTGCTGTCTTAAACACTTCAGTGGGTGAGTGTTTCCACTCCTCTGGAGAACTTTGAAGACCCCCCATCATTGAAATGTGTTCTTTGACTATACATAATTTATTAATCTCACTGTATATATATATCCTTCCTCAAAGAGTCTGTGACAAACCTTTCCAGACACAGCATTGTACTGTTGATTAGTTGGGGGCTCACCCTGAACCAAATGTACTGGTGCTAAACACATCACCAGCTTATCAACCTCTCATTTGGTGTGACATATACAAATTATTGATACAACATGAGGTTAACCCTCTTTTTAACATTAACTTGTATAATTAATGATCATACTTCTTTAGGTATACTGTTTAAAAAACATGTATTTGTCAGTTTGTTAAAAACCACAGCAAACGAGTCCTAGCCAATCTGGTAAAATTTAGTGTTGCTCAGCAAACCTTGAATTTCTTTTTTCCTAACAAAGATAGTGATGTTGTGAAGAGAAAAGAAATGAAAATGCGATGCAGTTAACAAAACAAACAGGACCTTTTTTACTAACTTTTCATTTTGTTTTAGACTTTGAATTTTCATATACTTTCCTTTGGTTTACACAAAATGTAGTTTATCTGTTCACGCTGTAGTTATATATACATCATATTTTCACATGCCTTATCAGAAAATGTGAAAATAAAGACTAATAATATATGGAAGAACTTGTATTCAAATATTTCCTTAGTGTGTGTGTGTGTGTGTATATCATTAATTAAAAAAATTATATTTTATTTTGTGCACATTGTAGTGCTTCTATTCTGTAAGCCTTTTCATTATTGGTCATGAGTAAATGGTTAATGATGAGTGATATTTTTTGACATTCCTGTTCATAACTTCATTCTTTTTGATATTGATGTTTGATGTTTACACTTGGAGGATTTTTTGTTTATATATATACAGGATGTTGAGTACTTTATATTATAATGATTTTTTAATATGAAAATCAGAAAGTCACATGACAAACACAGGCGATGTATAAAGTCACTGTGCAACAGCATCTATCATAAATACATTCTGATATTGTTTGAGGTTTTGTAGTTAATATGATGCCACTGAAAATTATTGCCTCTGGGAATTTTATGTAACAGTTAATTTTTAAACAAATTATTCATACACTTAAGACTGTGCAGTTAGTGGTTTTTATTAATTGATTAATTGACAGGCTCACTAATTAATCACCTCTCACTGACTCAGCAGTAAGTCTGAGGGCCTATGATGCTAAAAATCAGATTTTGATAGTCACTGTGTAGCTTCATGCTTCGTAACATACAAGCAAAGAAAGAAAAATGAGGTTATGCTGGCTTCATAACTGTGTGAACCATTGCATTATTCTAACATGTTATTAATCATTAATCTAAAACCTAGACACTGTTAGAGTGTCTGGAAAAAGCCAAGGTGCAAACATTTAATAAGGCAATGCATAGTTGGCATTCATATTGTTGTATTGGCTTAGAAATAATCAATTATTAGCTTAGGTCTTTGTCTGAATTGTTGTAGATTTAAGCTATGTTAATTTCTGAAAAGCTCAAAAAAAGGTTTTGTGATAAATAATGCCAATCAAATAAAAACACAGACATCCAACTTTTTTATACACTGTATGGTAGTGTAAGAATGTCCAACTGTTTTTTATTATTATTATTAATCTTTGAAAAACAAAACTGAGAGGTCTGGACCACTCCTTTAGATCCTTGCCTGCTTATACAACATTAAAGTATACAGTTATGCAATTAAAAACATAACACAATTGAAAAAACTGTCAATTTACACTTCATTTAATACTTAAGAAGCCAAAGAGTCTGCAGTAAGTGCTGCCAGATAGTTGCTTTGCCTCTAGTGACAGTAGCAAATAGCTTTAATTGCATTGTCATAACAAATACAGAGCTAGCAAGTTTGGTGGCAGTGGAAATCAAATCTGAGACCCAAAAACAAGTCTTCTTTCCCCTCCTAAATCTCTGGGCCATGGGGATCCAAAGCTGAAAAACTTGAAGGAAAAAATCTTATAATGCTAAAATCAAGTTTTGATACCCCTAGTGGGCAGAACACAGAAGGCCAGCTAGGTAGCTTTTTACTTAACAACAAACTAACATAATGGCAATGTTTTGATTACTTATGTAGTTGAAATAATCAAAAATAGATTATAAAGGTGTATTCACATTGACATTTACAATTTCCATAAGGGAGATATCCCTTGTATACTTAATGGCATTGGAAACAAAATAATATGAATGAACTTGAGGCATCAGGACCATCCAGAAATAGGCTTTTGACAAGTTATACCCCAGCAGTGGTAAGCAAAGTGTAGCATTTTGTAACAGGTAAGAATCTTCAAAAACAAAGATTAGTAGCAAAGGCCAGCTATGTGCCCCAGACGACAGTATACATCTTAATCAAGAAGGATCTCAATCTGAAAACAAGACCAACAGGGTACAGCTTCCAATCATTCCTTCCATTCAACCATCTCATACCTTAAGTAACTGGAAAATGAAAAGGGTACTTATGCTATTCCATATGAATACATACTGGTCAAGCATCTAGATGCAATATCTGTGGGTTTCTCCATGATTAGACTGTTGAAATGGGTGCGAGGAAACCACTGTCCTCATACACCAGATGGATTATGGAAAGTAAGCAGGAAAGATTGGTGTGTTTTTGATGTGACAGTATTACATCAGAGTCTTTTGCAATGGAAACTATATTTCAATGCTATTGTCAAAATGAAAGGTCATAAAAAAGAACATGGCCTGAACATGGCAACATAGATTTTAGTGATGTAGTGAGACTCAAAACCATTATAGTATAATCAACTTAACCTCTGTATAGCTTTGCTGCTCTGAAAGAAAGCTTTTGATGTAATTGATTTAGTGTATTTTGTTAAGGTTTGAAGAGAAATCATGCAATTTTTTTCTTGGTACTTTTCTAAGTGCTTTTATTTCTCCACTGACATGGCTGTAGTTTTCTAGGCTAGTCATTTTCCTATAAGATGTTTTTCTATTAAATGTTTTTACTTAAATGTAGGGGTACAAAATTGTTTGACTTTTTTTTTTTTAATAAATTACATACACATCTTGAATTGTCATGCAAATAAAGTTAATTTTGTTAATAATTTGTGTTTCAGAATTGCCAACACTGGAAAAGTTGATAGTGATATTGATGACTTAGATGATGGTGACTGGAACTATGGGAATGACAAAAAATGTGAGTAATTTTTTAATTGAAAGGTACTTAAATATTTTAGCAACAAATATTCATTTTATTATTTGGTAAAAAATAACCTAACATTCATTTAAGTAGGTAGAAGATTCAATTATACATATGTGTATATATTATATATATATATATATATCATATGAAATAAATGTTAAATCTTCTATAATTCCTGACTTTATGTATTATTAATCATATTCATGAAAGCTGTGAAAAGACAAGATCTATCATTTATTTAAAATATATAATATTTATATTCTAACTACATGTGTGTATATTTTCTACAGTATAACAGAATAACTTCCAGAGAGTGAGGTGTTTACCCCAAGATAATTATATTTCTGTCTATACCTTGTCTCACTAAGAAGTGCAAGTTGTTTGACTCAAATAAAGTGTTCCCTAAAGTCTTATTCTTGAGTTGATTTCCTAAGATTCAACTACTTGGATTGTTTGAATTAAGTGGCAAACTTTCTAACCCTTTATCATCTATTAATTAAATGACCTCTCTTAATTCATAAATGGAAAGGTCATCCAAGTTAGTAACTTTTATTTCTTTTATTTGCATACTGTTGAATATTAAATAATGAATTTCAGAAATTTTATAATTATTTTGGGCAGATAATAGTTTGAATTACTTCATCCTTTAATGGTCTGGTATTTGTGTCATTAACCAATTTGAGTCCTGGTTCAACATCTGTTGCTTAATGATAATATCCAGCTGGTATACTATTATGTGGATCCCCACTTACACTATTCTTTCATGGTTATTGTGTCCTCGTATGATACCAGACATGTATTGAGGTTTAACATACATTCTGGAAAAAAATATTAAATCTATGTTTTAATTCTGATTCTTCAAACACAGTTCATCTTTTTCAGAATTAACAAAATGCTTTGGTACCATACTGCCACCATGTGTGAATCAATCAATCATATAACATAAATATTTCTGTTATTCTTTTCTGGACGAAACATACAAAAGTAATTAACTTACAGTGGTAAAGTGTGAGCTGACATAGCATTTCTCTCTTGATTATTGTCTAAAGTGAATACATACTTTGATATGGATATTTTTGTGGAATGAACATAAAAAGCAACTGTCTTTTATACACAGAAATGGTAAATAATAATAAATGTGTGTACTTTTGAACTCCACCCAATGACAAAATTTTACATGCATAGTATAGTAAATATTCCATGAAACTAGTTGATACTCACTGGTCCGGTTATCGTCTCTACCACTACCTACCTCAGCACTGAACTTGTGTTGTTGTCAGCCTGTATTTCTTCATTATTCTTGCATTTTTTGCTGGTATTTTTACTTTGTCTATATCATCATATTCTCTTGCTTTTCATTTTGATGAGGTGAGATATGTGTTTTCATCTTCTATACTTCCTTGGTTGATTGTTGCATCAAAATGTTTCAGACCTTCAATTCCATTTAACTTATTTACATTGTGTACTGGAAATGAAAAACTTCCATCCATTGCAAGAAAGGTTTGCTTTTGCGGACAAGTCTTATAATCCATATATAAAAAAAATTTTAGAATTTTATTTAACTTTGGCTACTGAGATTTGGAAATTTTCTCCTATGCACCATATCAGTAGAAATATTAGCGTTACTTATTTAGTCCTTTATCAAGGTGTAGTTTTCTGTAAGTAATGTTGGAAATGAAGTTTGCAGCTAGCTCTTATGTCAATTGTACACTACTGTTCATAATTTAGTTTGCTGTGTCTGTTACCATTTGATTGGCTAATATAGTAGGGATACAAGGATCTTCGTAGTGTATTTCATGTATTCTACAAGCTGTGTGTAATTTATTTATTGGTCCTTGATCCTTCTTTGTCACTTTTTTTTTGACTTCTGTTTCTGGTCCATAATATCAATATCATGGTAATTGTGGCACGTTAAATGACAAAACCAGTTCTTACTCGTTCTTTTAAAAATTAACTTTCCTTCTTCTCGCTAAAAATACTACATAATCTCTGAGACAGGGAATTTTTACTTTACATGCTATTCCCTATTCCTGTAACTTCGCTCACATTTTTACCAGGAATTTCCCTTATAAAATATGTGATTAACTGTAAGAAATTGGGAAAACTTAATATATAAGAAGCTGCTTACCAACAGTATTTCTTACTTCACTAACAGCATGTACTGTGAAGTTCAGTAATGTTTCTAGAATTTCTATTACATTTATAGAGTAATTATAAAACAAATTTGACCACAGAATAATACAAGAAGCACCTTACATAATGTAAATACATTTTGCCACATTACAGACGCACTATTTAGCAGATAATTACCAATCTGTAAGAATGTTCAACTATTTTTATAGCATATATGCATAATGTATGTTTTCAGAATATATTTTTATTTGTATGCAAATATTATATAATGCTCCCCTTCCCCTTTTTTCTCTACAGCTTCAAAAAAGAAACGTGACAAGAATTGTCCTCGCAAAATCAAACCTAAAGCCAGAAATGGTTGGTAGTTAATCTTTTTTTTCAGTTTCTTTAAGCAAACATTGATAACTTGCAATTGATAAGGCTGCATATGAAATATAAAGTTACATAAGACATACTAAAATGTGTGATGTCCTTGATTTCCAGCCCTTTCTAAGTTATCTTTTGTGTTCAGTTTCTTTAAAATTGATTTTATAAGTTAGTTCTAAAGAACTTCTCTCAATACATAATTATGATGCAAGCAGAAATGAAAATCAATTATTCATCCAAGTGTTAAAAAATAAAGAATTTAAGGAACAAGTGGTTTTGTATGCTACTTATAATGATGTTGGTTACTTATATAAGGTAATAATGGCATTCCAACAAATATTTTTGTATTTACAAGTCTAGATATTAAAGAGATAAAAGAGGACTTTGAAATTATCCTCATGAGCCCTTCATATAGTTTGTATGATTTTAAATGTTCTGTTAATATTTTTCTTTGGAAATGGTAATTCTGTTTTATAATTTTTGTGTTTTATTCATTTAATAGAACCTAAAAATAGATCTAAACTGGTTGCAAAAAGCTTGTTTAATTTTTACAAAAATTGGAAAACATTTATAGTAGATAATGTTGGAATTATCCCTCTCGCTACGGGTCTTCCAATGGTCAGAGGCCAAAAGGAATGTCATCACATTTGTACTCTTACATTCAAAATTTTATTGAACTATTATTTTATGAATGTTTGTTGATAATTTTGGTATCAAATTGTAGCTTATAATTCAAATGTTATTATCATACATTTCTTAGTTTAAAATAATTAAAAAAATTCCCAAATATTGATTTTTGTGTGTTATGTGGTATGTTAAATGCAGCTTTGGTTCAAATTAGATGTTTGTGATGTCCAAGTATAAAATCCATAGTTTCTTATGAATCAAAAACTGATATTACTGATATTGATAAGCTAGAATATAAAATAAGAACTTCCTCATCTGTTCTATTTGCTGAGATATCACAATATTTATTGAATCAAACACAGTGGCCTTGCCCACTTCTTCCATTTTTGGAAATACTTTCTTATGTACACCCACTTCGCTCCTTTATGGCTTTATAAGGAATCAAAAGCTCAGAATGTCCCCCATATGGTTTTTTCCCAGTCTCTTGAAGGTGGAAAGTTCCCAAGATTTTTTCTTTTTTGTCTTGAATCTGGGAAGGAAGGGGTAAGTGAAAATGTTGTTCAAAATACCTTATGTTTTAGACCCAAATACAGCTTAGTTACTAAGCCTGATCAATTATAATGGATTTATGTGGTATTGTTACAGTAATTTATGATTTCTTGTTATTTCAAAATGCATATATATAAAACAGTTATTTTGCCTTACATTCTCCACGTGCAAAATTTGACAAGGCTTAGCTAATTGTGGCAAGCAGAAAATGAGTACAAAGTTGTAAATAGAAGAGATCATTGTTTTCTATACTTCTTTATTTACTGTTCTATGTTTTAAGAAAAATAACTGAAATGTAAATACTTATTTGTAAATAATAATAATATATATACATTTATAATGTATTATAACCAAAATGTGATTGTATTTTACAAAATACTGGTCTACTAGAACAAAGCCAAGATAGTCATTTTGTAAAGGCCAGTTTTGTACTATTTGTTATGGTAACCTAAGTGTGTGTGTGTGCCGCATCATTGAAGCTTCTATAATGTTAGTCAGACATGGCTAAAAAGTTAATAAAATAAAAATAATAAATATATATAGATGTATACTTTATGAGATTTAAGCTATTTAGACTAAAAATTTATGGTTTCATGTTACAATTTATAGACATTCTAGAATGAAAAAAAGCGTAATTTATATCTTATTTCCTAATTTTTTATGGTGGTTATGAGGTTGTTCAAATCACCCAAACCTGTACAGAGGTACAATAGTGACAAAAACAGATAAAATATAAAGTTCTTTCAAAACAAAAACGTTTGATAATTATCTGGAGGGCATTAAGAGTTTATACAGATTTAACATGTGTAATTTGACAGTTTTCTGATGCATAAAAGTTATTTTTAATCTTAAAATCAAAATTTACTCTACATGTTGGACAGTTATTATTTCAGAAGAAAAAATGCACGAGCAAATCGTTACTTAAAAATCTTAAAACTTAATAAAAAAAAATCTCATATTTTGTGCATGAAAGCCTTGTAATGATTACTGATAATCTGCAAAATTTTGTAAGATACACATCGTGTATTAAAAAGTTATAGTATGAAAACTGTAACGAGCACAAAATTATTACGAGGTTGGTCTCTGGGACTGAGCCCATAGTGAGAGTGTTAAAAATTATGTTGACTACACCACTGTACAATGATGCTTTGTATTGATTCATCACCATGATGTCATAAGCAACATAGTGAGGGTTTAGTATAACATAATATCAAGGCTTCATCGATATTTTTTGTCAAATAAGTAGCCAACAATTGTCTTTCTTAGGAGAAGGAGGAAATAGCAGTGGTGGTAGTGGCGAAGGGACAAATGTTTTTAACAATTATGAAACTATGTCATTAGGTAAGAGTGTTTATATTTTCACAAAACTGTCGGCTGTATAATTTAATAAAATTATTCAGTGGTAAAAAAATAAAATTGTATTCTTCAGAAATTAATTTGGTAATATTCAGAGAAATCACTGGTAAGTGAGGTGCAATATTACTTACCGAAAAAAGGTTTTCTTAATGTTTTGTTGCACTTTTGGTTGAATGGTATAACCATAAAATTATTTTTAATGTACTACTACTACTTTGGTATTCATCTAAGCATATACAAAAAACAAAAATCTGCATAACCATCAAACGTGACTTCATTCCCAAAAGAATTGGTCAATACTAAAATAAGATAATAGCAAGTTATAAATAAAATTTCCTAATGAGAAAAAAGACTGATGTATGACAACGAAGCTCAGGTTGTTTATGTAGATAAGCTTTATCATTATCAACTTCTGCGATTATTTTTTACATTAATCAGTCTAGAAACAATTGTGAATGGATGTGCATGAAAGTTCCCATTTCAATACTTAAATTTGTCTACAAATAACTTCATCTAAGGAATCAAGACAAAAATAAAAGTAAGAAATTCATTTAAACTTGTAAATTTTTCAGATGATTAATGCACATTAACCTAGCATACAGAAAACTAACCTTTAAAACACGTACGTATTCTGTGTAAGTGTTTTGCTGTAAATTGATGAGAAATTATTAGTTGCAAGTATTTTCAAATATTTTTAATAAATTTAACTGTATCAAAGTAATAATTTTCAAATAAAAAAATCAAACCATCTGAAAAGTGATTAATAATTACATGTTTTATAATTCTTTGAAACTTTAAAATAAATCATTTGTACTTTAAACTTACCTTTATCTACTTTTTGAATATTCATTTTAGAAGAGAGAAAAGCTTTACTCCTACAGGTGAGTTATGTATCAAACTTTTTTTTCTGTTAATTATTTATTTGTACATAACTTCTAATGTACATCTTTATTGAATTCACGTGAAACTAAATTTCACATTTTAAGCACTATTCTTAATAATTTGATTATATTGACAATGAACTTGTTTTGTTTTTCATTACCAGATGTCAGTTAATAACCTGTGTGATCTAGTAACTTGCTAAACTTGTGACATTACCTAATCAGTAGCAAGAGTTGAGAAACTATTTGTTGGAATTTCAGTGGAATTTACTAATCAACTAATTGTTGGGCTCATTATTTGGTTGCATTCAATAAAACAATTAATTCAGTGTTTCTCAAACTGTGGTATGCACTGGTCATCAAAATTTTAAAAAATATCATTCTATAATGATATGTAATGACAAACCAACTGAACTTAATAATTAATTCAAAAAATACAATAACAGCAACCTTTAAAGTAGGCAAGTCTGATTTTAATAATTACAACGTTTCAGCCTACAACATTGAGTGATCATTAGGTAAGAGTTACATTGAACTGCCTTTTTGAACATATCTCTTACCTGATTAAAAACAGATCTTGCCTACTGTAAAAGTTACTATTATTGTACTTTTGAATTAATAAACTATTTCATAGCTGGAGATATGTAATCACAGAGGTACTTAAATTTGTACTAAATTTGAAATGTGGTATGTTAGCTTCAAAAGTTTAAGAACTATAGGATTATTCTAACATGATATCAGTTTTCCTATTTTCATCTAGTTTTTATTTTGTATCGAGTAATTTTATAAATAGCTTTCGTTTAATATTATAGACATTTTCTAACAGTCACTATTTGTTCATTTAGTGAAAAAATATTTTTGGCTAGAAAAAAATGAATTGCTAATGACTACTAAAGACAACCATGTGGTGGTCATTTCTGATACGAAGACTCACCTCCATGCACAGATTAGCAATGGTTTGAGGAGCCTGACACTGGTATTATCCATATGTCATGACCTTCTCAGTCACCAGATTTGAACCCAATCGAGCATGTATGGGATATTCTGGAATGACACCTGAGACAGCATTTTCCACTTCCATCAACTAGGTGTGAGCTGATTGACTTTCTCATGGAAGAGTGGTGTCGCATTCCTCCTGCAGAACTTCAGATGCTGATAGACTCTATGCCATGGTGCATACAGGTCGTACCGGCTGCACATGGTGGCCCAACAGCCTATTAAGTGACATTACATTGGTGTTTCCATTTTTTTGGTCACTACTTATATATGTAAGTTAGCTAATTGGTTAGTTAATTATTTATAATTGAAATTGGGATACGTTTTAAATAAAAATATTACTACCATTATCACTGACAACAAAACACACTTTCATTATATGATTAGCATTTTATTTGATTTACAAGTAAATAATAAGCGATTATTGCATAGTTTGAAATTAAACAAAATTAACATTTTCCTAACCTGCAAATGTACTTCTGATCAATACTCATCTCTGTACACAGACTAGCTATATTCCTCTTGAAGTTTCACTCTTCTACTTGAGAGAGGTGCATGCCACCAACCTTGTGAAAGTATCACCTAAAATTCACATAAAAACATGTGAAATTGTACTACTGCGTAATGACATATCAATGAGAAAGATCCTCCACTAATAGGAATGCAACATATCTCCCTGCACAAATGCTCCCTCTACGTTCACATGCAAATACCCTCATTCTTTTCTTCAGCACCATCATGCTAAACCATGTTTATTTTAGCTGAGACTTGTTGAAATAACTTATTTCAACAACTTTATATTTTTAACCTTTCAATATGAATTCACAAATTAATCTGAATTCTTTTTCTGCTGATGTGAGCACAAATATCACTCACAATTACCAAAAAATTAGGAAGTTTTTTGCTTGTTGAGATCATGACAGCCATCACGTATCACAAAAAGTGCTGCTTAGGTTGAAAAATACCAAATGCAGTAAAAAAGGAAGAGTAACATAACATCGTCCAACATGAGGTGGGGTCCGTGTTTCCACCTGGATCCTCTTCTTCCATCCCTGTCATACATTTCCCTTCACAGATTGTTGAAGCTGAAGTTGAGGAGGATGAAGTGCAGTGACTTTTTCCACCCAGTACTTCTCTACCTACTGAATATCTCTCCAATTTTCCTGCCTACCTTATTTACACCTTCTACCCATAGTTTTCTATCTTCTCCCTCACCTGTTAATGCTGCAACCAGCATGTTGTAAATATCAAACTGATGACCCATTGATACCCTTCCGTGCAACTGATTTGAAAAATGTGATGATGGACCTAATTACAAGGTTTGTCTAAGTTGATCTAGTAAAAGGCAAGAAACTGAGTGCCATAGATATAATGAACATTGACTTGGATGACAATAGTGTGTTGAATTCCTACAAAAATATGGTAATTGGAATAATCAGTGAAAATATGATTAACCTATTTCACAGGAAGAAGAACATTAGTGACAGAGATATTTTAGAATTCTGTATGAATTGTAGGAAGATGTTAGTGAAAGTTGTGAAAAAAGATAAATGCCCATTGAAATATGAAATCATGAGGAACATGGACAGTGTGGATCCAAGAAAGATGGCAAGGGATGCATATACAGCTCAGAAGCATCTCAAGAGGGTTGTGAAAATACTGCTTGAAGCAGGTAGACTGCAAGAACAAGATCTTTTGGCAGTGCCAAGAATTCCTGCAGACAGTGATGAAGGAAAACCACTTTGCCTTCAAGGAGTTTAACCCATCTGTAAGGCTAGACAGTTTCCTCTATGTACAACTTACGGCAAGTGAATATCGTGACCTCAGGTCAGTCATGAAAAAAGTTGTTGTGTTTGTCACACGGCCAAGCTCCTGTGAATTTCTTCACTGTAGGACTTGTTGCACAACATGTTGTGGTGGACCACACCAAGACTGTTGGAGATGTTTTGAATGTGAAGATTAACATGTCTCTGAGGCTCTCTTATAAGTCAGCAAAGTAGAAATGTGATGCCTGCTTGGCAGAAAAACAAAAAGGGGATCCAGAAGAAGTGGAAGAAGGAAGAAGAAAAGGAATGGATTGTGAAGAGAAAAAAAAAAGAGGATGAAATGATAAATCTAAAAAAAAAGAAAATATTTAAAAGAACTGGAACAATGACTTGTGAAAAGACATGATCTAATTAACATGTTAAAATTGCCAAACATTGTTTGAGAACTTTTATATTTGATTACAGCGTTCTGTGTTACATATCACTGTTTTTGAAAATTTAAATGTTTATATTTGCCTATGGTCTATCTTATCTATTAAGTGAGTCTCTCAGTGGTTTAATGTAAAAGTAATCCTTGTTAAATATAAATGTCCTTTAATTACTTGATAGTAATTTCTTTGAACAAGAGTGCTTGAAATTGAGATTGTAGGCTATGGAAACGTCCCTGAAAATTTTCATTGATGTCCAGTGTGAACCCTGTGTATAAACTATGTTTGTTACTCCTTAATGTGTCCACTTAATGATTAATGTTTTGTCATAGTTTTTTTACTGCATAATGTTTACCCATGGATGATAATGTTTAGTTCTCTTCCATTGCTCCTTAACAAGTCACACAGACAATAATATTTTGTCAGTCACTACTACTTAGCAATTGAATGTAGTAAATAATAAGTTGTCATCATTCGTTGCTCCTGAACATGTCCAATATAGTCTGTAAGGATTAGATCTGTATATTTACTTCTCTATGAACCATTAGAAGATAGGGCTTAGACATAATCATTTGTCCATAACGTGTCACACATCAACAATAATATTTCATTATATTCAAAACATTACCTACAACGTGTACACACTAAGAAGTAATGTTTCTAGTTCATTACTCCTTAACATTTCCACATAGATATAATGATTAGATCTGGCTAATTACTACTTCATGTACCATTAGAAGATAGGGTTTAGACGTTAATTGTTTACTTCATACTATGTCACCCATGTCAATGTTTAGATGTAGCTATTTACTCCGTAACATGTACTTACAGTAGATAATATTTCATTTCCTTTCCTTACTTCATAACATATGCATATAGAAGATATGTTCAGACACAGTTCTGAGCCTATTCCAGTTGAATGTGTTCGTAACCTGTCATGTTCTAGGAACACTGCACATTGTTGCAGGCTGTCTTCTCAACGTGACTATGTCCTACCCACAAATTGGTTCCTCATCCACTGGTTTTCCATTTTTCTGTTTTCTCATTGTTTATCCTCCTCTTGTTGCCTTGCCTCACCCCTCTTTGGTACTTCCTTTATTATGGTCCTCTCTGCTTCATTCCTCAGCCCTGGTTGTCTATGCCCTTAGTCTGGTCTGGTCTCATTCTTTTAAATATGCATGTCTTTCCATCTCCTCACTCAGGTCCTTGCTCAATTTCAGGACACACTTTAAAAGGTACCTTTGGTAGCTCCTCACAGGCTATCACAATCTTGTTTCAATTACTCTACCTTGTTGTGTCTCAGCCCTGAATTGCCCTTCCCAACTTTCCATCCCTTCTGATCTACTCTCACACTTTGCTCTTTCCTCAGAATATGACATCCTCTTATCATTACATGTGGAATTGTCCAGTCTACCTCTCTAATCATGTAACTGTCCCTTTGTCCCACTTCTGTCACCCTTCTATCCCTTCCATGTGCCAATGTATGGGACGTACTTATCTTCTTGATTTCGTCACTATTTCCCTTTTACTTCATTACATTGTAACATGTTTCTCCCATGTTCTGTAAGTCTTTTCTGTTTCGGGTTTTAGGGCAACATTTTCTATAATTTTCCTGATTTCTTAGTTATCTTTCTTCCCTGCCTCTTTTCTACCCTCTTTCATTCCTTCCTTATCCATTGCTCCCTTTCTACTTCTTGCCTGATTGGATTATCATCGAGCTTCTATATACTGTTACCCTACTCACACACCTGGTGATTGGCCTATAGAGTCTGATGTTTGAGTGGTGCTTTCATAAATATCCTTAAATTGTGTCCACTGCAGTGCCCTCCTCCCATGACTGGAATGGGCCCATAGTATCTGATGGTTGAGGAGGCTATGCATGGATATATTTCATGTGTTCCCTTCTCCTACAGCTGATATTGATTCATAGAGACTGATGGTTGAGGAGGTGAACACTCTTGGTACAGCCTGAACGTACCCTAACCTTACTACACATATTGGCCTTCTGATGGCTTGTTTGAAAGCTCTCAAATGGTCATGTACTTATTCTGCCCATCCTTTCTCACCTCTCCCTATCCTTCACTCAGGCAAAGCATATTCCCTGATTGAGACAAGATGCAATCTCCCACGAGTGTTATATCCCATGTGCATCCTTTTAACACTCTTGAAAGGAGGCTTACCTAGGTAATTTTTGAACAGGTCCCTCCACTATCTCAGTGTGGGATTGTAGCTAATCTAAGCAAGAAGGTGAGTCATCATATCGAAAGTTAACATATTTCTTACACGAAAATGTATTTTAAACAGATACCTCCATTCACATTTCCACCTTTCCTTCCCATTTTCCCTGTGTACTTTTATTCGTTGTCTCATCAAAGAATGAGGATTTTCACATATAAATGTAACAGTAGTATTTGTGCAGGGAGGTGTGTTGCACTTCTCTTGGTAAAAGATTTTGTTGCATGATATATCATCATGCAATAGCACAGTTTCATGTGAATTTTAGGTATGAGTTTCACAAGGCTGGTGGCATGCAAGTCTCTCAGGCATAAATGCATGACTTCAAGAGGAAAATAGCTAATCTGTGTACAGAGATTAGTATCATTCAGAAATACATTTGCAGGTAAGGAAAATGTGAATTTTGTTTATTTTTAAACATTAAAATAAGCCCCCATTATTTATTTGTAAATCAAATAAAGTGCTAATCATATAATTAAAGTGTATTTTGTTGTCAGTGCTAATAGTAGTAATATTTTCATTTAAAATGGATCCCGATTTCAATTATAAATAATTAAGCAACCAATTAGCCAACTTGTACAGGTAGTGGCCAAAAAAATGGAAACACCAATGTAAAGTCACTTAATAGGGTATTGGGCCACCATTTGAGGCCGATACAGCTTGTATGTGTCGTGACATAGAGTCTACTAGCTTCTGGAATTCTGCAGAAGGAATACGACACCATTCCTCCATGAGAAAGTCAGTCAGCTCATGCCTAGTCGATGGAAGTGGAAAACACTGTCTCAGTTGTCATTCCAGGATATCCCATACGTGCCTAATTGAGTTCAGATCTGGTGACTGAGAAGGCCATGACATATGGAGAATGCCAGTGTCATGCTCCTCAAACCATTGGGCAACTACTTGTGCTCTGTGGATGGGGACATTGTCATCATGAAAGACACCCCTCTCTGCAGGACAGAAATACTGTAACATGGGGTGAAGATGGTCCCTCAGTACTATTAAGTAACAATTGGCATCAACCTTGCCTTCTAAGGGTATGAGTGCACTCATACCATGCCAGGAAAATGTGCCCCACACCATTACAGAACCACCAGAACCCTTCACTGTTGGAACCAAGCACTTAGGGCTGTAGAGTTCTTTAGGTTGGCACCACACGTACACTCGTCCATTTGTCAAGAACATGGTGAAGGATGATTCATCTGACCATATCACATTTCTCCACTGCTTGGTAGTCCATAGCCTGTGCTCTTTGCACTACTGGATGCACAATCGTGCATTGCCACGTGGGATGAATGCTTTGTGTACTGCAACCTGACTATGGTATCCTGCTCTGTGGAGTTGTCAACGGACCATTTTTGATGAAACTGGCTGCTGTCGCCCCAGGTTGAAATTTGCAGTCAATTGATCTGTGGTTGCTCGCCTGTTTTGCCTTGCAGTTCGAATTAATGCATGGACATCACGATCCTGGAGTATGCTCTTCCCCCCACTGCTCCCCTTTGCTGATGATGTCTTTCTCTCTGAGATTTGTGAGACATCACCTTAGACACTGTTGCTCATGAAACATCAGCAAGTTGAGCTGTCTTGGTCACTAAAGCTCCTGCCAAATGCACCCCAACAATCATCCCTCTTTCAAAGTCACTGAGGTCTCCTCTTGCAGCCATGATTTATAAGCAACCAGGCCTGTCCAGCATTTTTATACATGACCCTATGCATGCTGGGATTTTATTTGCTTAATTAATGGACAAGCCACACCTGTGTGGTTGATTTAATTGATTACCTATGATCATTGATATTACATCAATTAGTGTCACATAAGCTAATCATTTTATAGAAATAATCAACTAATCAAATTTAGTGTTTTTAGTTATTCCAACAGTTGAAAAAGTTCATTAGTATTAAAATGGTAAATGAAAACAAAACCTTCATATGTTGGACCTATAATTTTATATTGGTCTTTTCAACCAAATGAAATACACAGAATTAAAACTTGAGGAACCCTCTGTCCCACCTTATGGATTAAATGATTGACTCAGTGCTGGTATTGAGATACTTATTTTATTGATCGGGCAATTTGAAATTTTTAGATACATTAAACTAAACACTGGCTTAATTTATGCTGTTTTCTGTTACCACGTAGCAGTGAGAAGGACAGTAATTGTTAGGATGTATATGATTCCTTCTCCTGACTATAAAGATTAATGGGATCTGGTTGGTTTGTTAGTCGCATTGAAAAAGAAAACAATGTTTTTATAATTTTGACTTTACTTTAACTGTAATTAGTTTTAGTCATTGTATTGTTAAAGTATAGGAAAGTGTTTCTGTAGATTAGAAGAGGAAATTATGCATCTGTGAGAAGGATGATTATGATGAATGTCACTTTTTTTTTTATTCCTGTAAACTTCCAGTGGAATATAGGGCCGCAACAACACCTCACCAACGGAAGGTGTTGTTGCAGTTACTTGTAGCAGGTTGTTTTTTACGGGGTGGAGTTGCTAGTCCCGCGCCCAACCCTCCTCCTTTCTCATCCTGGACTTGGTACCAGGCAAAGGCGGAGGTTGGCATGTTTGGTGTGACGGGGATTCGAACCCGCGACCCTCAGATTACGAATCGAGTGCCCTAACCACTTGGCCATGCCGGGCCGATGAATGTCACTAGTCCCTTATTATTCTCCTGACATTATTTTTGAATATGAATCACAGGATTTAAGAAGAAATATTTTATTAATATTATAATAGTTATTTTTTGTTCATTTTATCTTTAGGAAAAGGATCGTAATTTTAGGCTAGATTTTTTTCTCTTTTTTTTTTTTCAGTGCTGTGGAGTGATATCTGAACACACTAAAAAGATGTGTACACGATCTCGGCGTTGTCCTCAGCATACAGATGAACAAAGACAGATAGTACGTCTTTCCCTGCTTGGCCAGCAAATGTATGTATTTTTATGGCATATTTTGTAAGAGGTTTACTGATTATATTTATAAATTATCATGTGTTACATTCCTAAGTACAGAATATCAAAATTACATTACTTGGTATCACTGTTTCATTTTTCTCCTAGAAGAAGCTTCCCTGTTAAATTTTACATGATTTAATATTATTTGAATAAATATTTTATGTATTCATTATTTTTCATCTGTTTTTACCCATGTGGATAAGATAAAAAGAGGTGAAAAAAAGTAGTCAAGTGTGGCCTAGTGACTAATATGCAAAGCTGTGGATCAGAAGATCCAAGGGGTTGAGGCCTGACATGCTGCTGAACATGTATTGTTTCAGCTGTAGGAGTATTTGTAACTACGACAGTTAATCCCACTACTCGGTTAATAAAAGCCATGTAGGTAGCAGGTGCTGCTGACTAGCTGCCCTCACTGCAGTTAGAAGTTCTAAATTAGATGTCCGTAATGCGGAAATTTAGCCACGTGTGGTACATTAATTTTAAAGTTAATTAAATTGTTTTAGGCTCTCTGTCACCAGTCGTAACATTTAAGCCAATCTGAATGAATGCAACTAGCTGGCAGTACCAATCGCCAACTCTTGAGGTACCCCTTAGAAACATGAATAGTGGGATTGGCTGTTTCAGTATAATGCCCACATGGCTGAAAGGAAAATATGTTTGGTGGCCATATAAATTTAATAAACAAATAATATCAAATGTTGGAGTGAGAGGGGAGGGGGCTTCTCTTGTGGGTTTGATATATCTGCAAATTAAGAAGGTAAAAGGTTTCAATTTTATACTCTTATTTCTAATTATGTATAGACTGTGGTTATAACTAGTTTCAATTTGCAACAGCCTGTTTTTGGTGTTAGAAAATTCTAAAAAAAAAAAATACGGAGTACATATGCATCACATAACACAGAAAAATGAAGATTGAGGATCCTTTTTTAAATATTACTTTTTGAAATTAGGAAGATAATTTACAATTTTTAATCATAAGCTACATTTTCATGCCAAGTTTATTAACATATATTCATAAGAAAGTTGTTAATTTAAATTTAGATGTAATACTGGTCCCCCTCCCACTACACCAGTTAAATGCTTAAAGTATGTTACACTTCTGAAAAATGTACTATGAGCTATATAATATTCATTACTTTAATATGACAAAATACTAGTAGTGAGATACCTATCTTATGAGTTAGAGTGCATAAGAGAAAACATAACAGACTAACATTGCTTCTATTTCATTGAATATCTAACACTTTTTAAACCAAGAAGAGTTATTGCAACATTTACAAGATAGACAAACAGTGTCTGGCATAACAGCTTTAAACACCAATTTCTAGTCTTATAGAGCATCTTAAGATTAAAATATCCAAATCATGACTTTCTGTCATTTAAGGTAGTTTGATAAATAACCAATTATTCAAAACTAGCTGGAGTATCCGCCATCTGGATGGAAGTTATGTAAATTCATGATTAATGAAAGGTTATCTTAGGATATAAAAAGTTGCTTTCCTTATATGTAATTGTAAAATATGCAAAAACGCCCATAAGAACAGCAAAACATAAAGTGTGAAACTGCAAGTTTGCATGTATCTCTGCGTGGACCAAAAACCTTCTTGCCAAATTTGGTGAAGATTCATCAACAAGGGGCAAAGTAGTGGTAGAAAATGCCCATAAAAACTGCAAAACACAAAATTTGTATGTATCTCCCCATGGACCTAACAAACCTTCATGCCAAATTTGATAAAGATCCACCTACAGGGGACAAAATAGTGGTAAAAAATGTGAAATATCCAAAAAGATTGCAAAACTGAAAATTTGTATGTACCCCCATATGGACCTAATGAACCTCCATACCAATTTTGGTGAAGATCTCTCCACTCCCTGTGAAGTAGTTACATGGACAACAATAGACAGTACTATTATACTTGTATAGATAAATGCATTAACACTTACAAAGAATGGCAGTAACGGTTTTTGATCTTTTAATAATAATGGTAATTGTCACTTTTACAGTACCACAGTTTAAGTTTGTGTTCATTTGAGTAACTTCCTTTTGACCATTAATTACTGTATTTTATCTAGTGTTAGGGCATGCCTTATCTACTATGTCGAATTACAGCTCACTTTTTCCAGTGGCACAGCAGTACATCTGCAGATTTACAATGCTAGAAACTGGGTTTTTCGATACCCATGGAAGAAGAGCACAGACAGCCCATCGTGTAGCTTTGTGCTTACTTACAAACAAATACTTTTTCCAATCTCAAAAGATCTTTATATGATTAAAACAAGAAAATGAAGGATAAATGATTTTCACCATCAGTGAAAAAAAAAATGAAACTGGAATCTTCATGAAACATTACAATTGTAACAATAATTACATTATATCATTATAAAATTAAACCAGCTGCTAGAGTATCTAAAGAGAACCATGGAATCATTTTGTAGCAAAAACATTAAGAATAGTTTCAGATACCTAACCTTAAAAAGATTAATGCCGCATAATTTCTGATGTTATGATTATATTTGTTAAAAATCACCTTGAGAGAATTTTATGTAGGTGTATATGGTTATCCTTTCAGTTATAGAGCTGTGATCAACACCATGCAGTTCACTTGAACGTAAAATACAGAAAACATATAGGATTTTTAGGACAGTGTTGAAAGTACCGAATTTTGTCAGATTATAGAACATACATGACATCTTGTTATAATACCACATCATAAAGTTTTTTCACTTTGTTTGCTTTTTTCTTTTATTTTATTCAAACTGAAATTTTTATTCTCAGAAAAACTTCAGTGTTTATCACACACTAAAACAATACTGAAAGGTTTAAATATAATTTTGTTTTGTTTTTTAAAGACAGAGGATATAGTTTTTTATATGAAATTTAAAAATTCAAAATACTATTTTCAATACAAGTCTGTAATTTAAAACACATCCTACATTATATGAACAAAACTTTAGAAAATATAAATAAAAAGGAAATTTCAGAACCAGAAGAATTATGTACAGTTGTAATAGAAAACTTGAACAAAACACGATGTCAAAAGAATTTTTCATGTAATAATGTATCATGTCCAACTGATAAGAAAGTTGCATATAAAATTATATTATCTGTATTTGTAAAATGTGGTTTTAAACATTAGCACAGATGAGTATGTTATTTTAAAACAATCTTGAATATGCAAATCAGCAAGTCATATATCAACCACAGCTGATATAAAGTCAAGGTGGAATCACGTGTGTCAGAACTACATTTTAACATATTTTCAAGGATGGGGATATCCTTTGACTTAATAGCATTATATAAAAAAAAGAAATATGGATCAACTTTGGGAACCAGGGCCACCCAGAAAAAGATCTGCAATAACCAACACTCAAGCCATGGTAAGCAAAGTGTGGTGTTTTATAACAAGTGAAAATCAATAAATGCATCCATATGTCTCAGGTAAGAGTATGTAGCATAATCAAGAAGGGTCTCCATCTGGACAAGTGACACAAGTCTCATATGCACAGGTTGCTATATATCAGTTCAACTATCACATACCTTAAACAGTTAGAGAATGAATTGAGAAATAATGTTTTCCATAAGAAGATATATCACTGAAGTCACTGGATGCAATGCCTGTAGATTTATTTGAAATTGAACTGTTGAAACAGGCACTGAGAAACCATCACCTCATGTACTAGATGTATTATAGAAAGCATGCAGGGAGGAGGGTTATGCATTGAATGTTGCAGTCTTGAAACAGAACCTTTTACAATGGAAACTATACTGCAGGGTTATTGTCAAGCTGCATGGTTGTTAGGAGATCATTACCTGGTTTGGTAACATGGAGTGTAATGTAGGGGAGAGAACTAACATTGTTTTAATATAATATACTCAGCTTTTTTATATGTCATACATGTAGACATAGAAAAAACAAAAATAAATAACAATAATAAATTTCAATGACAAATAATTTTATCAACTTAGAGATTTGTTTTTAATATGTAAGCTTTGAGAACTCATTAATGGTAGACAGATAATGAGTAGAAGTTTAAGGACAGTGCAATGTTTGTTTTGAGTTGGGAATGTGTTGTTAAAGAATATGCTTCTAAAATTAATTAGAAAGGTTTTTGGGTAGCTGTTATGTGAAAAGTTCATGCTTCAGAGTAATCTCTCCATGTGGAAGGGTGTAATTAGCACTCTATATGATTAAATTCACTTCTAAACTTGAAGAAAATGGATTGCTAAATTTCCTGAGTATTAAGATATCTAAAACAGGCAATAATTTTTATATACTTTATATACAATATCCTTTATTGCAGTTATTTTCAAATGTTATGTAGTCGTATCCCTTTTAAACAGAATGTTAATCTCTTCTCATCTCTCACCCCTCTATACAAAAACTTTTGAAACAAAATGGCTACCCAACAACTTTTCTACCTAATATTAAGATATAAATTATTTAATAACAAATTACAGCTTCAAATAAAATCACATACTGTACTCAAATTTCCTCATTATCTGTTTACTGCTCATGGAATGTTAAAGATTACAGATTTAAAAAACAAAAAGTTATAGTGTTGAACTAGTCAAAGTTTCGCATCTTCTTTAAAATATATATGTTTGTTTCTGTTCTAATGAAGCACCCTACCTGAAACAACAGATGATATTCAGGTAGACATAGATACATACGATGAAGGACAAACACAGCTTTTACAGGAAGCCATGTATAGAAGCTGGGACACTGGAAGCTCTACTAATGCCTCACCTGCAGACTCAGGATCTGCTCCAGGAGGTAAGTTCTGATGCTGGATTCACAGTTTACTTTCCTAACCCCAAGACATTCTTACTTTCCCTCTAAATGGAATTTTTGTGAATAAAAAATATTAATATATGCTATGTAAAATACTGTTTTATGCATTTGTACATGACCTATTTTAAATTTTCTATTTTAATTATCTGATTGGTAAGTCATTTTAAAAACGAATCTCTGAGTCAGCCAGATCACCTAAGGGAGGCCCACGTCTGATATTTTCTCAGCTGAAAAGATACAGTAATTTGTATTTTTGGTAGATGAAGAAGTTGTTTATTAAACTTTGCCTCTTGTTGTAACACAATATCTATAGACATTTATGTAACGACAACCAGTAGATCTCTCAAGACTGCACATATCTCAGAAGCATCAGATTCATTGTTTACTTGCAAGTATAAGGTAGCAAAATGCTCAGTGGATGTGATCCTGACAGAATATCAGTTGCAGAGAAACCAAGTTATAGAAGAGGCTAGAGAATACTTTGTTGTTTGCTTAAAAAAAAAAGAGCCAAATGGCCAAGTAGAAGTACAGATGACAGGAAAATGTGGGTAGTCATGAGTGAGAATGATTAACTTTGGGGAAAAAATTACATCAAATAATAGATCCCTAATTGTATTCCATATTTTGTGTGGATCCTTCTTTGTTATCAAAAATTACAGTTTGTCCAATTGACCTGGAGATTCATTGTTAGTTAGTAGAAATAATTATTTTTTCTATAATTTCTGAAAGTTTTAATTAAACATATGTAATTCATCATTTGTTTTCATATTTCACCTAAGAAACTGTCTACTATTAAAATAGGTTGAACATGATTTGTTTTCCAAATTTGGCTTATAGGCAGCATTTCATAGGTTTAAAATCATAATTTTTGTTTTTTCTTTACTTTTAAGCCAAATACACTATGTAATGGAAAAAGTATTATTTTACATGTGATAAGCTAACAAATGAATTTTATGATATACTTGAGGTGACCAAATAAGTCAAATTAAACTTGGATGGAGTGTTATATATAAATATTGCTGCATGCAAACAGAAAAGCTATTAAGCAGATTTTCATAAGTTTCTAACTTAAAGATAACATTAGAAGTGGTCCATGATGTTCTTAATCATTTTAAAAAATGGTAATTTGTATTTTATAGGCAGTATTTCATCAAAAAGAAAAGAAAAGAGAGCATCATCCAACTCAGGCCGCAGTGGAGGTTCCAAAAAGAGCAAATCACGTCTTCCACCAGGTGGCAGTAGTATAAACATGGGAAACCATGGGGCATTAGTCAGCCAGCCACACTTACCAAGTGACATATAGCTGGCATTCTACATTTGTGTATTCAAGTTTTCATGTTTTTATAATTAGCCAAACAATTTTAGTATATATTTATAACTTATTATACATGACACATTCCTGTTTCATCTTTGTTTGTTATTAAGTACCTACTCCTGCTGAACACTAGGATGGACAGTTGTACTTTTTAGTAAAGTATAACTAGTGATGGATTATATAAATAAATGTAATTGATGTTATCATAATATCTTTGATGATAAAGAATTATGCCCTTAATATAATCTTTGCATTATTCATTCTTGTTTTTGTAGAAACTAACAAGCTAGATTATCCTCCTGTGTTAATAACTGTGGGTATTGTCTTTTGGATATGGTGAGTAAAAATGTTTCTCAATTTTAATCACTTTTTAAAGGATTATGTAGGAAAAAAGTGTGTATTGTTGTAAATCAGTTTATTATGATAATAAATTAGCATGTTTTGTTTTTTACCAGCAAATGATTAAAAAAAGTCTTAACTCATCCTGAATATATAAACTACTACCTAAGTATCAAACACATGTTCAGGGTTATTGATGAGTGGAATTCTCCACAAATAGTATAACCCAATAACACATGTTGATCAAAGTGTAGATTGAACCAGACCTCCCTTGAAATTAAACAATTTTCAGGATTACTAAGTTTATTTATTACTACATCAGTATTTTGCATATTCAGAATACTTAAAATATCCTGTAAGTGAAATAGTATTATAATAGGGGGGGGGGGTATTTTTTTTAATGTGGTATTATGGCAGAATGCATAAATTATACAGTTTATGACCTTCCACTTGGATCCAATCTCTGGTACACCAAAGCTGTACGAGAACTAACATTCCAAGTCAATTGATCTTAAACATAACATGAATGGCTGTATAGAGGCTAGGTGTAAATAAAGTAGTCATACATTTTTATTATTTTAAATTATTAAGAATCTATGTTAAGAATTTAATTACTTTTAACCCTTATCTTGTCTATTATATGTTACAGAAACATTTTTTCTCACTCTTTTAAATCTTAAAACTTTCTTTACTAAACTGATATTTCAGAATCTCCCACTAGTTACTATTGAAATCTACATCAATGTAACGTTTATGCTGAAGAAAGAGAGCTGTTCCTGGGAGGGGGGGTCTAGTATTGGAATTTATACAAATGCTTTATTTAAAAATAGCAATCACTTGTTTAACAATCTTCTACAGGTTTACATTTTACTTACATTCTATTCTCTGCAATTATTAAAAGATCAAGGAAAATTAGCTTAGTTTGAAGTACATTATAAACTATTTTTGCTACCATTTCAATTTTATTCTGTTACTTACAAGAAAACCAGCACATAATCAAGTGATTAGTTATATAATCTGTTATAATGTTATGCACAGTCTTACAAAAATGTACCAGTAATCACCATCATAGTACTGATAGATTTAATAATTTCTAGGTGTCATTAAGCAAACAAAAGTTCTCAAAATTTACATGTCCTTGAATTTATAATGTTACAAAAAAAAAGTCAAAGATGCCGTTTCTCATGTTCTTTAAATTAAAACAAAATGCTTTTAAACCTGGTTTCTTTCCTCATTCTATACAAGCCCCCCCCCTCCCTGATTGTCTTGACTATTTTTGTACTTATACTATTAACAAAAAAAATTTAATTAAATTGGTAAACATGATTTGATATTTGGAGTTATTGTGTAGAAGCTTATTGTACAGATCCCGAAATAAACACTTCTTGCATGTTGTAAGTATTTGTGCAACATAGTTTTAAAAATTTAGAAACACTTCTGGGTGAAGTACCGTTTTCTTCAATGTTTCGTACTTTTCCAAAAAAGTCATTTACACTATTGTTATGTTACTTTCACACTTTAACAATAGTAATAAAATCTTGCCATTTAGCATGAGTGCCAACTTGCATCATTTTGAAAGTTCTGTGCTCAGTACCGTATATTTCAAAATTTACAAAGTCAAAAATGTTTGAATAATTTCCAACTGTTCCTACATTAAGTGCATTTTTTATATCACCAATATCTTTCATGCTGTATTTTTTTTTTGTAAAAAAGAGTATCAAATCATTCATAATTTTTATAGAAAACATTTTATAATAATAAAAAAATGTACATTCAACTTTAACTTAAATAGTCTTAGTAAACTATTACTATTGTCAACAGTGTTGTACAGTAGAATGCAACCTGTAATTTTTATTGGTTGGCAATACTTTGAATTCTTTTGGAAGGGAAATTTTTAGAGAGTCGCTCCAAATCACATCAATGGTGTACAGAAAAATACAAAGCAAAAGTATGATGGGCAACACAGTGTTTTACTTTAGATATTTTATTTAAAGTACCTAGAACATGAAACTCAGATCTGACATCAAATGAGGTTTACAATAAGTTAATACACAATTTTTTTTTTATCACTTGATACCTAATATGATCATTCACACTTCACTACCTGGAATTTTACCATAAATATCATAAAACTTTTCATTTCTTAAAGTAGTAGGAAAAAAATACTCTTAATAAGCAAACAGTAACAGATGTTTGTCAAATCTTAAAAGTTTACATTATTTTTCTAATTTTTTTTTGTATAATCTAGAATACATTTAATCACTCATACACACAAACTAATCTTGATAATGATCACCCAAATTATTTTTTTAGCATATATACTAGTTTACTTCTTGACAGAGGGCTTTATATCACACACAGGGCTATATTTAAACACTTCTGTGAACAATGAAGACAATGTTCCATTGTAAGAACGTTACTTATTGGCTATAAAAGCCTATTCCACAAAGTAAACCCTATACAGTAGTAATCCCTTAACTTTGTTTCCTCAAGTCACTGTTTAAAACTAACTAGCCTCTTGAACCACAAGTAACCTGTTAAAAGTAATTTTTCTCTAAGTTTCAAAAAACAGATTATGGAACAAACACCCAATAATATTGCATCTGAGGAACCACATTTTTCTCCTCTATCTAATACCAAATTATCAGAAATTATGGAATAATCCTAACTAACACACTTAATACAAATAAAATAGAAATGTAACTACAGAGTAATAAAATCTGAAATTAGGCATTGATAAAATATTTGTAAAAAGGAAAAATAAGTGGTCAACATTTCAACCATGTTTTTTTCATGGTCCTGACAAACGTCATTTGTTCAAAACATTGACACATTTTTCTTTCAGATTTTAATCATTTCTTAGTATTAAAATACATTATTATTAATCAGCACAAACACACAAATAGCAAATAAACTAAATTCTCAGGAGCAACTAGCTACCAAGAAGCAGAATTGTAAAAAAAAAAACCTGTAAACAAAATTACTAAGCCACTATGGGTAATATGAGATGTTCTGTATGGTGATATATTCTATTGTACAAGATGTGTCGGTGGGAAAAGTATTATTTTGGCTGTGGATTACACTATATATTCCTATACAAATTGATCTAGAATGAACAATTTTATGGGGGGGGGGGGCAATGATTAACAAGTGGAAAAATTCTTCATCTAATGTTTATACATACCAGTTGTGCACCGATTAGTTTATGTATAATTACACGTAATTTATATATACTAATTTGTCAATAATATACTTCAGTGCAATTTCAACTGCAATAGTCTAAATTGTTGACATACAAAATACTGAAACTAAATTCCTAAATTGGAGTGCAATCAATGAGTTTAATTCAACTACGCTTACATATTTAGCCACAAGAAACTGTTTAAAGATGTACAGCTAAAATAAACTACTGCTTAAAGTACTGAACACATTTTCTCTAAGCTCTACTAATTATTTATTATCTGAAGATTACAATTGCACATTATAATTTAAATATCCAAGTTACTTCAGTTAATAATGTGATAGTACAAAAGCTATCCTTATCATTCAACATAAGCAGAACAGTGTTGTTCTAAGGAGGAATAAACTAGAGGATTAAATTTACATTGTACCTTCCCAAGTTTTTGTTTTTTTAAGTTTAATAATTTACTGTCAAAATTAAAAGTTTGACACTTTCTATTTGGTGTTTCCAGTTCAAAAACACAACTTCAAAGACAAATTGTACTTTATACATATTTTGTAGCTACCAAAAATGTACTGTTGTCATAATGTTTTCCTCACGTTTATGTTTCTACTTCCCAAAACATAAACAGCCAATAGAAAAACAGGATCACAATCAGAACGTAACTTTAAAAAAAATTCTCTACGGGTTACCAAAAAGTTTTTGTTTAGAAATCTATTCAAATGTTGAAAAAAAACTATCTTAAAAAAAAAAGAATATCAAATTCAAAATAAGCACAAAATAATATAGAGCCATTTCTAAACTTTTCATTCTTTTTTGTGCATCTGTTTTAATAAATGACAGCTGTGTGCAAGTTTGTAATCAGCATATAAATTAAAACCTGTTTTCATACACATTTGGAAAATATTGGGAATATGCCTTTTGTTAATGTACTTTTCCCTGTGTAGTAGTAGTAGACTTTGAAGAAGGCAACCCTTTCTATAACCATTGATATGGCTGTAGGTTTAACTATAGAATGAATTAAATCTATGATGATTTCAAACGTTTGCACATGACTGCACGTCAAAATGCAAGATGAACAACCCTAATGTACATTTCTTATTAGGGTTCCACTTATCATGCCAGACATGATCAACAAAATGTGAATTCACCCTATCATAGTTTTTGAATCTTTTCTCCAACAACAAGAGGGTTATTTTTCCTGATTTCCTCAGCTCCCAACATTTTATAGTCAAAAGTACAATTGTGTTCATCTGAATATCTGTGCAAACTGCAAAAAAGTCCACCGCAACGACAATAGAAACCTTTAAATGAAAGAAAAGTAATTTTAAACCCCACTGGTATACATAAATATGATATTAAACATAGACATTTTCCATTATAAAATGAACATATTTCATTCAGTATCTCAAAAGCAGCTGAAAAAGTTTAAACAAACCCCTTTTATAACTGTTGAGTAAAGTTAATCCCCATGAACCTTTGTTCTTATTAACACCTACAAAATGCTATATAATTCATAAAAAAGACATATGCATAAATTTGTTTAAAAATAAAGTATGCTTAGATGATTTAACTTGTACGTCCATTACAAACTTCAACTACTTACACAGTCACTTGCTGCTAACATTTTTTTCAGAAACTTAGCTCAATAATGCCAACTATTGTTTATAAAAATTGTGAAATATTTAAAATTTTTAACCCTATCGGCCCGGGTACTCTTTACTGGGCATAACACAAGGTTTTAGTGTGTTACATTCAAAATTTTATTAAAACTACTTTTTG